TGTGAAAATGAGCATGGCAATCCACCATGATGTGCATTCCAACCGGTTGGCCTATCGAACCTTCGAGAGCGTTTCTCACTCATGCCACGTGGTCGACCCGCGTTGGCTCAAGCAATGGACAAAGGGCGCGGCAGTCCCTTTGTTTGGTCGGTTTTGCACCTGCATCCCAGTGAGCTGAACCAATGCCGGTCCCCGCTTCCTTTGATTATTGAGCAGGCTTTCAGTTTCATGTCGAAGAAAGGATCCAAGCCTTTGACCTGCTTGAGGCTGCAGAGCCTGAGGCTGCTGAAGAAGGCTTTGCCAGAGATAGTAGTGACTTCGTAGTGCGAACCGCAAGTAGTTTTTCCGGGTTAGCGCATGGAGCTTTGCAGTGAGATACTGGTCATCTCAAAAGAAGGGATTGATTAAAACTAAGAGCCTGATATGTTTGGTCTTGGAGCCTTTCTTTCACATCCATGCTGCATCAGGGCCTCCTGAGGGCTGAGTACTTAGCCCGTACGTGGCAGCATTCCGTTGTGTTTGCGATTTCTGAGACGCCAGATACTGGGAACACAGGTGAGACCGCAGAGCTAGATGCCAAGCACTTAGTTGTCAGGATTTCATGAGCCGTTTAAGTTTCTCATTGGGGTTGCATCTAGCATTTGCCTCCAGCACAAGGTGGTAGTGAGCTGTACTTTATACTCAATATATTTACCGTATATTACACATTATGTATACTGGGAAGTATGTGAGTCATGGTGTCTTCGGCACCAGGTGTAGTTATTGACATTATCAAGATATTGTTAATCTAGCCTCTAGCCTGGGTTTTGAACTGTGAGTCTTAGGCAGAGGCTGCGGCAGAGGAGACCCTTGAAGCAGAGGCAGGAGTCACAGTTGCAAGTGAGTTTTGGACTTCCTCATCGACACTGGGCCATGCATGCTGATGCTGGACCAGGCTCCTGAGGAAGCTCCTGATGAGGTTCGTGCCTGTGTGAACATGTTTGACGATTGAAATGCACTTGGTGGGCATTGTTTATAATCCAAGGCATCCACCGTAGTATTGCTTGACTGGGAGCGGCACGATTTTGTAGGCAGATGCAGCCGCTGATGCCGAAGCTGAAGTGCCTGCCGATGCCGACGACACAGCTAACACAGCTGATGCGGCTGACGCTGATGCTCCTGCAGCAGAGGAAGCTGCGGCGGAGGCCGAAGCACCTGGTGAGGCTGGAGCCTGAAGCCATTCTTCTGTTGAAAGCCTGCCCCTACTTGATTGGCGGCGGGGGGAGCTTCCTTGAATAAGCGCTCGCACTAATGATTTGTTTCCTAGTTGTTTTTGCGACACTTAATATTTGGATAAATGCTTGACCTGGTGAAACCCTGCCTTTGGAGGCTCCTGCAGAAGAAGAACCCCAGGGCGAGGCCATGCTATGCCATGGCTCACTGTATCCAATCCGTTTTTGTTGTGCAGGATTTTTGATTGTAACCCTAAAGGAGTGGCTGGACAGTGCACGGACAACTTTTCTCAGCCCAAGCACATTCTGGAGCATCATGTACTGATTTTGTATTTAAGTTAAGCTACTCCAGCCGCAGGAAGTTTATATTCCGCTGGAGGAGGGGGAGGATGAGCGTGAAGACCTCGGTGAAGGCGATGCCCTGAAAAACTCACGTCTTCAAACATGTTGGCAGGACTCCAGGACCAAGTTGAGAATATGTAACGTTGCGTATGTATATACTGTACTAATAAATAAATATATATATATATATATTATATATGTGTGTGTGAGTTCATATGAGAGTATGATAGGGTATGGGGACAGAACGCAGGCAGGACATGCTGGATGTTTAGCAGAGTCCAGTACCTTAGCACCGTCCGACATGCAAAGCGAATGTGTTTTGTTTTTAATTGCATCACAAGGTTCTATATACATCCAATGATGCTTCTAGAGCCCGCGGCTTCGTAGTCGATGTCTTTTGCACGTGGTTGAAGGTGAGGAGAGACCGGCACCCGTCTTGTGCTTGGCGTCAGTCGGAACAATCACACTTTGTAGTTTTGCGATTGACCATTTCACCAAGCGCGACTCACTGACTCACTTGTTAGGAACGGGTTTTAGACATTTCGCTGCGCGCATGGCTGTCTCAGAGACGTTCTTTTGACTTCAATCGCTTTTGTTGCTAGTGTGGCTAAATAGCTGTCTCTCAGAGGCAACTGTCAAAACAACAGCTGAAAGCCATTACAATGGCTAATGGTTTTGCAATCCCTGCACTTCTTGCTGACGTTGTCAGGAAATGTCAGAACATACTGCAACCTTTCCTCAACAATGCATGGTGGGCAGAGGGGCAGTCTGCTTGATTCCAATGTGTGAGCCATGTCGACGGTCAGTGATGTGCTTGAGGGCCCTTTCATCGTGGCGGGCAGGCTTGCATGCATTGAGGAACAGATGTGGCTGAAGCCTTCAAGCCTTGCTATCAGAATGCTCACCATAAAAGACATGCAACTCTTAAATTGAGCTGCCACCAAATTAAGATTGGAAGTTGAACCGGTGGCAGGAGGATTGTGCAGCATCAAAGCCACGCAGGCATTTGCTGGACACCTTGGAGATGGTGTACTTAGCGCGTGCGTCTCTGCAGCTCCGGCATCTTTGGTCTGAAACTTTGCAGGACCTGATCACTAAATTTGTCAGTAATTACATATACTTATGTAGTTGCAAAACTAATTCCACAACTGCATCCCATTTGCCGCAGAAGCAAGAACTGGAACTGTGCACCTTAATCCAGTTGTGCCGACCATGCCGGTGTGATCTCACATGCAGGAGAAGAAAGTAGAAGTCATTGATGCTTGGACAGAACCAGCGTCCCTGTTGCTGCCAGGGCCCCGCAGTCAGACCTTTTTACATTTCGATATTGGAGACTGAGGCCGCTACAGAGCCAACATGTCAGGGTTTTCTATTGTAGTAGGACATATTCAATGCCACTTGGTGAATGCGGTGCTTTTCTGCTGTAGAGACTGTGTTTGCATCCCTGCGGTGTGAGCGCACTTTTGTGAGAACACGGACCCGCCACACAAATCAGTTTTGTCCCATGCTCCATGTTTGGGATTTGGGATCTCCAGCCAACCAATTAGCCTTTCAGAGCTTTGAAGGGAGCACTGGCAGGATATGCGGGCGCTGGAGATACTGCTTTCGAAGGCACGTGGTGCAACGTTTGCATCATCCGCCTTGAACTTCAAGATCCTTATTTGCAATGTATGGATATGGACCAATTCAATCTGACAAGAGATAGCAAATAGAGAGTTTTGTGAGATCTCAGGCGACAAACTAGGACCAGAAGAAAGACAATGAAGAGTCAAACATTCTGACACAGTCTATGCGGTGATCTTTAGATATGAAGGGGTAGAATTGCACTGCGGTATGCACTGGCATTTTGTCGCCAAGATCCCAGTCTGCAAGAGATGACACTTAAACCAGGAAGAGCTTCTTGACGGACGATGACATGGAACCTTGGCATTGGTGTGGTGATGAAGGCTGCCGAGGCTCATTTGAAGGCATCGATTTATGGCAAGACTTGGTTTCCTACATGGAAAAAAGAAGCTATATAATATAGAAACATGTGTATTGCGTGATGTGCCTGCAAGATTTGCATAGGAGGCTATGCGCACAACAGGTTATGAATTCACCTGTTCCACAAGTATATAGGCAATCCTACCTAGTATCGCTAGTATGGTAAGGGAATAACTTATGCAGACGTTAATGCAAGCTCATGCACGGGCTTCACAAGTTCACAAGTACTTCAGCCATAATGGGTCAGCCGAACCTCAGGAACTACTGTGCTCCAGCCCGAAGCATCTTAGATGCACATGCTCCAGACTCGCACATTCAAGCCTAAGTTCGGCAGATTCCTGTTTCAGTACAGTAATAGTATAGCCACAGTCTTCTACTTCTACATTGTCGAACATCGTCGCCACTACTCAATTTGTTGTAACCGATTGTCCTTTTTGCCACTCGGAGGTTCTGCATAACCATGAGCAAAGTGGAGGATTTTTGCATCAATGTCAACGACATTAGCGACATTGGCCTCAGTAGATGGGCACATGTGGGTGCTTTGCTCCCATTCAGCTACTTGACTCATAGAGGGACTCAAAAACTGCCTGTTTGGCAAGTCTAGCTGAAACACGCAGGCTTGAGCTTCTCGGTGTGGAACTGTGGAATGAATTGATACTTGTATGAGGGAGGATCACGGAGGGCAAATTTTGAGTATTCATATTTTAGCATTCTTTCTGCCAGGTTCTTTGACAGATTTCTTTGCGATTGTCCGATGCTGAGTTGACGATTGTTTCAGCATGCCTTGCCGCATGCCACAGCAGTGTTTGTCCAACATGATGTACGAAGAGGCACGACAAGTGACACATGTCACGTGTCGTACACTACGATGTCAACAAAGCCTCCACTAGTACCAGAGATCAAGATTTTAGGCCTTTAGGCAGTGTGAGGTGCACCATGACCTTGATATGAACACACGGGCTTTCTGTTGGCACAGTTGCCAAAATCAATGTGCGATGTTCACTCAGGACAACCTTTTCGGCGATGAATTTATGAAGGTCTTTGCTGAAGCAGCTGGCAAGGGCGCTTTCCCAAGCCTTCGATTGATGTATCTTTACGGCAGCCAAGCAGCAGTCAAAGCTTGCCTGCACACACACACACACACACACACGGAGCCTTTGAGTGCTTCGGTTATTTATAATCATGAGACATCTGACACGTTCAGATGGTCAGCGTGAGATGATGATCAACGTTGTCCTTAGTACGACTGGTGTGAATTGCAGGAAATGCCATCGGTGACGTTTCCAGGATGCACCTTATGCTTGATTTTGGTAGCCAATCCGCATCAGAACTAGCCTCGTGCTGCCTTTTGACGTGCTATTTGAGGGGTACGGGTAAGGTAAGAATCCACCGAAGGAGCCTAGTGCGCAGCACTGTTCAAGAGTTTGTCAGCTTCAGGATGGCTTTGAAGCCTTGACGGAAGCGATGGCGCAAGATGCGTTTGCGCCGAAAGGGCTGGAAACCCTGTTAGCTGCTTGCCATGCAACTTAATTACTCAACACATGGTCCGGGAAAGACTGCGTGCTGCCTGTGTCCTACCCCCTGTTCTGCCCAGTTCCTGCATCATTATGGTTTGTACTTCGTGTTTGGCTCAAGCTCCAAACGTGATACTTTGCATCTCAAGGTCATGGGCAACAAAATCACAGACAAAGGCCGGGAAGAACAGATCCACGAAAAAGGTCAAAAAGGATTGAATTCAACATGTGATGAGAGCTAAAGCAGCTAAAGGATTTCCAGCTGGCTTTCTCATGGTCAGCAACTGCACCGATGCTGCTTGAATGATCTTGAATGGCTTATGGCCGCATCAGTGGCTGTTGTAGTCCAGAACATGAGCAGAAGCAGCATACTACTTTCAAAGATGAACATTTGAGGTCCGAGCAACTTGCTGGGCTCCATTTCGTCACGCATCTCACTGTGCTACTATGGATGTTGATACTTGATATACCCACAGTCTTCAGGTGCTGTGAGTTTGTGGAAGCCAATGCAGCTTGGCCGGCTGCTCGGTCCTCAATTTAGGCTTCTCTTCCTTTGTCCTGTGCATGGGGCTCCTTCTCCCTTTCTGGAAGGGTTGGCCATGGAATGTGAATTGGGTGATTCATTGCAAGAAGTCAACAGGAGCTATCTGTGAGTAATTAATAATTGGTTATTTCAATTGTAGTTGCTCAATTATATAATGTGTTCATGCTTCTTGAAACGAAAACGCATCATTGAGCCAGGCTTCGTTTGCTTCGGAGCTTCGGCATTGGCAACGGGGTGAGTGATGAAGGCAACACTGGGGTGGTGGGAAGGGCGAGATTTGATCTATCAGCTTGAATAGAACGCAGTTGGTTGTCCTTCGAGACACTCAAAAATACCCTAGCAGCCAGCACTCAATCTACAGATAAACCGCAACCCAACTTCACTCACCGTGACAGAGTAGTATCAAAGCATGATTTGGAGCATCCAGGGTCCAAGAGATGCATTAGACGCTGAGACTAGTCACTCAGCGGACCTTATTCTCAAGGGTTCTGCAAATGACAGGTCTGCAAATGCTGGTGGAGGGTGGCCTTCAGGGCAATTTGCCTGAGCTGTCGGACTGGGATTTGAGCATGAAGCAGAATTCAGGGTTGCATATGGTTGCATGGAACAGCAGAGAAGTATTCCATGCATGTGAAATAATATGAACTAATATGAAATAGATGAACATGTGAAGTTGTGTGAGCATTCTCGTGGGGGCCCACACCTGTTGCAGCCTTTTCTCAATCAAATAATCTTGTCAGAGTTGAGTCTATGTTCAAGCCTGGAGGAGCTACATTTGACTGAGAACCCTTTGACGGACAAAGGCATAGCCTCCTTGCTGCAAGCTCGAGAAGCTGGCGCACTGGAATGCCTCTCTCATGTTGGCTTAGAGGGCACAAGAACCAGCACCACGGCGAAAGTATGGCTCTGTGATGGCTTTTGGATACTTTTGACAAGGCGGCATAGACGCACCTCATGAGGAGCCTCTAAGCCATTCTAAGGGCACCTACCAACTATCAAATTGAAAGCGACAGCTTCTCCGGGTGCCCTGTGATGCTGTTACAGTATATATGTTTATATATTTTTAGTCAATGACAATTGGCTGCAGCCGGTAGTGCTTCTCAGAAGTTTCAAGGAGAGAGGTCGCTTGCCAGTACCGATCCAGCAAAACGGGACATTGCTCGCCATTCTGTCCTGAGGTGCCCGTGCCCGGCGGGCAGTTCTGGACATGCTGGAGAGGAGAGAAGACGAAGACGGCTGACGATCAAAAGCTCGTTTCATTTGAAGCATGTTTGCTGATTGGACCTGAGACCTTGTCTCCACACCTGCCAATCCGAAGGGTATATCAATTTGCTGTGCCATGAGCAATTTCCAAGCCATGGACATGGAGTCACAAAGTCATTTGATAGTTGTAGCCGGCCAAGGCAGATGATACTGCTGGTGGTCTTCTCAGTGAAGAGTGTCCGGCGGCACTATAAATTAGTATATAACTGTAAATATTGTGTGTACTATAACTATAACCTAATGTAGTACAATAAACCATAATATGACTATAATATGTACGTTATGCAGACCATGGCACTGCAGATAATATCACATCAAAACTCTTTTGCAACCATTTGCAACTTGCCGATAAGGCGAAGAACTTGGTGGTCGAAGTCAGCTAGAGCCAGAGGAAGAGGCCTTCAGCACATGTTGCGAAATTGGGCCATGTTTGTCAAGGGGAAGGCAATTGTGGTCATGGATGGTTCGGTTGGCATTTGATGGCATTTGGACGTTCCGCTATATGCAGATCCAAGGAATTTCAAGGAAACCAGTCAGTCGTCAAGCACTTTTGGCAGACATTTTTGGATTGACCGCCTAACACTCTGCATTGATGCCGGCAGGCTGACAAACCCGAGGATGAAGGCGGTCAACGGAATCACAATTTGTGAGGTTGATTGTTTAGCCGCAGAGATTGTTTAGATTGCTCTATTTGATGCTCCTCAACACTCACTCCCAAACCGTAGGCAAGGAGTGGGCGCGGGGTAACTCCGCCCGCAGTGTTTGCTGGTGTTTGGGCTCGCAGAGCAGTATGGCAGAATTACAATGATATACACCACAGATCGCCACATTGGAATGTGTGCTACAGGCTATAATAGTGTATAATTAGTTTTGATGTGATGTGAATGGTGGATTTGTCCGTCCCGTGTGGACAGTCCAGCCAGTGCAGATTCTGAACAAGGGACCAACGAAACTTCACGTGCAGAATCTTCCTTCCCTACCTACCGTGACCTGCCTACCATGAAGCTCGAATATGCAATATCACAGAATCCAACAGAACATAAAGACGGCAAGTGGTGCTCCTGGATGTCGATGCATGTCATTGCATGACGTGTTTTCTTACTAGTTACTAGTAACAAGTGCATCGCTAACTGGTAGCAAGTGAATATAGGATGGCTGGGTTCAGAGTTTTCATTCCCACTTCGTCTCGCCTTCATGACATGTCGCGGACCCCGCGGACCCGCTTGGAGCGGAGAGTGACATGGGAGGCCGGTCTTAGCCAAGCGGGCAGCACGGATCAATCAATGGTATTCATATAACTATTTACAATTACACATGCATATATCAAACCCCACTTTAGGGCCTTTAGGGTAGGGTTTTGCCATAGGGTTTTTGCAGACGACATCAACGCAGTCTCTATTTCTCTCTCTGTTTTTTTTTTCCGCTTCCGTCCGTTTGTTTCGCTTTCGCGAATGATTAGTTGTTAAGTTGCGGGAAGCTCATATGACGAGTGTGTAAGAAGAGCCACCCTTTGAAACCACATTGGGAGCGCAAGATCCATCAAACCCTAGTCTCATGACATGGGAGGCATTCCTCTTCCAGAATTTCAGGTCAACCCACCAGACTGCGGACCGCACAGGACCTGGGGGGCGAAGTTGGCTCGCAACTCCTGGATGCGGATGGCCAGCCACTGACATGGGCCACATGGCCAAAGATGTCAGGTAGCACAAAGGCACTTTTGCTTCAGCATACTTCAACATATTCCCAAGAAATGTTGCGCAACCTTTGGTGCGTTAGGACTACAGCCAAGCTTGCTCATTTTCGGGCAAACATGGAGTAGCTTGACAGTGCTTAGTACCCGAAGCACTCAATTTATGAGGCACGTTGCTGGAGGAGACTTGGTAGCCGCTTGGCCTCGAGATACGTAGTGAGTCCCTGCAGCTTGATTAAAACGTGGCGGGATGAAGAGCTAGTCAAAGGCAGGAACATGTGAACATGTTTGGAACTCCATGTTTGGAAGCCCACAGGCGGCCTCAACCCTGCACCAAATCCAACGCACTTGCCTTTGTTAGCATGATGAATGTAGCACGACATAGCACGACCAAAGACGTGCATCACGCTGTCGGCTTTCGTGCTCACAAGATATTCTGCATCGTACAGAGGGACAGCATGTTCAGCGCAATGTGTAGCCACTCAAGGGCTCCAAGCTGCTGGTAAAAGGTTTTTTGTAACTCATTCCCGTTCACCCCACATGTTCTGTTATATAACTAATTACAGATTCAAGCTTTTTTGTGGACCTCCTTGGAAGAGTTTAAACAATTTGGGTGCCTAAGGTTGCACACATGATTTAAGTTACTTTCCCTCGCGTTCTTAGGAAGTACCTGGCGCATTGTGGGAGCCTGCTGCACATGGGGCCGCTCAGCTGGCAACCAACTAATAATCTACTAGAGATGGCCTCCCTATCTAGAAGCCTCCAACCTAATAGCGATAGCCTCCAGCAAACAACCTTTACTTCACTTGGACCTGGACTATCTTCGCTGCCTTCGCACTACTGAACTTTTCAGCACGCACCCTTTGGTTGGGCCGCACTCTTCTTGGACATGTTTGGTGAAACGTTGCTCTTTGTGTTTTTCTGAGTCTTTCTTGTTTATTGACGATCTTCTCATTTACTTTATGTCCTTCTCCCTTCGGGCCACACTTGGGGTGCCAGCGCTCAGGCTGCCAGCTTTGCTGTCCTGTTCTCTTTTTGAATCAGCCAAAGCCGGCGCCTCCAGTGCCTGGAGAGCGCCCAATGAAGAGCCGAGGAGGGCCGGACACGGGAACGCATTGAAGCTCGAAGTGAGGCTGGCTCTTGTTATAAAATATATATAAATATAATATGTTTTAATATATGTTATATTATATATATGTGTGTGTGTGTTTTTGAATGACCGGGCGGGGGGGGGGTGGGCCGCTAGTAGAGGTGAGGTAGGTTAGCTAGGGAGTCGGTACCTACAAGTAGCTACTACTTAGGACGCAGGATAGCTCACGCTTGCACTAATTATATATATATATATATGTAATGATTTGGTTCTTAGGTTTTGTGCCGGTTTGACGCTCAAAGATTGAGAGATGGTGAACGTTCTGAAGGCATGTGATGACTCGATGGAAAGAATCTGCAAGCCTGAAGGTGGTTCCATTGTTAGTCTATGTTATCATTATAGGGTATTTGTGGTATTCATCCCATTCGATGTTGACTTGAGTTGACTTGCTCAGCACCAAGTGTTGCCAGGACAAATTCTGGGTGCCTCAGCTGGATGAAACACGCACTGAATGCCGAATTTTACGCAAGCATGCTCCTTGTGACTCTTTGATAGGCAATAGGGGTTCCTGTTACCATCATGCAATTACAGGATGTCACTTGAACACCTTAGCAGAAATCCACGGGCAGTTTTAAAATTGATCAGAACAGGTGGACGATTAAGCTGAGCGTTTGCACCTCTTCAAGAAGCTTTACAACAACTCCTAACCAATATGCCAAGCGATACTCCCTGGACAGGGACATGTTCCACTTTGTCCCCGTTGACGCGCATATCCTCCCATTCGTACATGAAATTGCAATGTTTCCGAGTGGCTGGGATTGTGACTGTACCCCCTTGAGTCCTTGAGGGTATTCATGCTTCGAGTTAATGCAGGACATAAGTTCAGTAGCTCTCTAAATATTTCCTCTGTAATTTGTAACGGCCGTTATGCGGAGAGTGCCCACCTTCCTAATCAAAGATGGGTGTTGAACAAGTGGTTTTCTTGAAAGCTGACTGGGCATCCTGAGGTTACCTGTGGAAGCTTTGTGCAGGTGTCGATTTGACACCAGCAAATTTGAGCAAGATCCAGTAGCTCAGCCTAATCAAGCAGTGTATTCGGGATGTGACGTTCTTAGAGTCTTAGAATGTTTTAGAGCCTCTCATGTTGTGTGTTCAGATCCCAGGAATTGGCGGCGAAGACTCTTCTTCATTGAAGAAGCTGAGCGCAGCTTGCCTCGGGAAAGTCGTGAGACGGTGTGGAGAGCGACATTGACATTACTGATATGTTCCCACAAAGGATTTTTGGACGGTGGCATGTTCATTCCACTAGATTCTTTCTGTGGGTATGCATAGTCCATCTCGACAGACTTAGGTGGCCTCTCTATGCAGTTACTTGGAGAGCAAGCCTTTTGAACATGACATGGTGTGATCCTCCTTTGGTGCTTCTACTTTTTCTTTGCAGTTGAGCCAGGTATATAGCAAGTCTCCTGCGCAATTTGCACTCTAAGGTATGTGTCAGAGAAGTCTGACGGATCAAACGTGTTGGCGCCCGATCCTGAGAACAATGCGCACTGATCAGAGGAAACCTATGCACAATGCCACCAATGAATGTGAGGGCCATTTACTGAAGCAGCGGCATGTTCCTTGCAGATAGTCTAACGGAGGTATGCAATGCCGTGTGCATGAAACACAAGCATACAGACAGGTCACTAATACGCTGCCGTGGCAGTAAGCGCGCTGTGGCAGGCTGGGGCAACCTTACTCTCAGCAGTGTTTCATTGATATTCACTGCAAAGCTGTCAGAAACAGTTTGTCAAAAACAAGAATTCAATACAATTCTTCCATAGAAGTCTAGCCTCGATCAACCTTTCATTTGCTAAAAGCCTGCTGTTCTTGGATGTTCTTGGTGTATATAGCTGGCTATGTGTATACTGGATATATTGACACAGGCTTCGCGTACAGGCGATGCCTGCGGGAAGGATGGTTCAAGCGTGGAGGTCTAGAGTTGTGCAACTCAGAGTGGTAAAAGTAAAATCCTGTTGAGACCATTCGGACGCTGCTTGGTCACCCACCGCATGACCCGCGTAGCTGCATAAGACAATGTGACGACAACTCCTAGTTCTGCGATATTTGCGTGCGTTTGTGCGATGTTGTAAATGCAGAAGACCGGTTGTGACATGCAAAAAAGTGCCAAACACAGTGAAATACAATGCTTTCCTAGTTGCCGCTTGAAGAAATGTTGGTGGCAACGCTGCCAAAACTGCGTAAAGACCGTTGTTCTTGAAGAGGCGTCTGCCGAAACACCATAAATACCGACGTGTTCGGCTGTTCTAGGCTCAAAAAGTGCTTCAAAGCTACGCTACTTGCGCAGTTTTGCACGCCCCTGCAGCAGCAAGCAATGTAAGTACCGATGGTTTTAGGCTATCAAGTGCTTTTTCAAAAAAGTGCGATACCTTCAAAAACGACGGTATTTACATTGACATGTATTACCAAGTTTATCCTAGTTTTATGTCGGGCGCGCCAGCCATAGATACAAGGAGCCAAAATAATTATGTAAAGCGAAACAAAGCAAAAGGTAAAGCAAAAAACATGCAAAACAATGTAGCTGTGCGTGTTTGTCGCTTTTTTCACTGTTTCGCTTTATTTTCGCATCTTTTTCGCTTTTGTCCTAGGAGCGTGCAGCAAGTATTGCTGACGGGTAAAAGTTCTCATAAGTGCAGAAGTGGTACCAGGGAAAAAAAACACACAAATGCAAAAACAAAGCAAATTGCGCTGCTTTTGCATTTTCATTTGCTTTTGTTTTGTTTATTTTTTCACGTTTTTTCACAAACACATTATTTGATGGTTGGTCATGCATGGCTGCCATTGCCCAACATAATCCTACTGTAGTTTTGTAAAGCATTGCAACGCATTCTTTTAGAATCAACATTTGCAAAAAACACTGTAATTTACAGTGTTTGGCGCTTTGGCGTGTGCCAGACAAAAAGAGCCCAAAGCCGCTGCCAAAGCTGTCCCCCAAATTCTGCTCCCTTCCAGATCAATGATTTTTTGGGGGGCTCCCGAAGCTGCTCGGTCAGTGCCAAACGTTGCAGCAGTCAGGGGCTCAATCCCCAAGATTTCCTGCTGCTAGAAAGCCCCTAACTCCCTGCCAAACGTTGCTTTCTGAGACCAATCTCGAATATCACCTAATCCGCGGGCTCAGAACCCCCTCTCGCTCTCGCGTGCTCCTTTTCAGCGCCCCCTGCTACACAGCCAGGGTCGGCGGATATAGCTGTTTGTTCAATGCCCTTGAACGATGGCAGTCTCGCCTTCGGCTTCCGTGCTGAGATGAAATGCCGCCTGTCTCAGGACTTTCTGATCTAGAAGAGCTGCCAGCAGCGATGCTTGAACCAGAATCTTGGACTGAAATGTCAGATCTTGGATTTCGACATGTATCCTGTCCATTCCGCGAGAAGTTCTTCAAGAGTGATCCTTTTGGAGTTTGCGTATTTGGCACGGCCTGTAGTTTACATCCATGAAGTTTTGTGTTGCCTTCAGCTAGGCCCGGCTAGGCAGACCGGGATGCATTTCATCCAACCCATGGGCTGGTTGATTTGCACTTTACCACGGAATCTTGCGATGTTTTTGCAAGCCCAAGATGGCAGTAAGAAGTCCACGTGAAAAAATGGCAGTATGCAGAAAACAAAAGACAATCCTGAATGAGGCGCACCTCCCACTGAGTTTGTTTTTTGGTGTGTGTTTTGACTTTGGCAGAGTATCCAAGGTCAGCTCTGACACCCGGTACAGCACCTTAGCTTCAAATTATCAGAATGCAAAAACTCCCTATATAATATAATCTAATATAGATGTCGCTCAACTTTTGGCGCTATGTGTCAGGGTGACTGTCAGAGTGCCCAAAGTGGGTTGGGTGTTTTTATGTTCCCGGTTTGATGCTTTCTGGGAAAGAAAAGCATTCCTGAAGTGACACAAGACACCATCAATCTGGGAACAGAAACCACCCTAGTCAAATCTCCTACTAGGAATGGGAAAAACCGTGCGTGGGAAGGGAAAACACCAAACCAGGAACAACAAAACCGGAGCCCAGCCCAATGTACTGTAGCCGTTGAATTTACTACTGCGCCTGCAAAACAAAGCTGTGGTCATATGCGGCCATTGGATTGGCTGCGCCATGGGTTCAGAGTGCTGAGACAGGTTACACTTCATGGAACATCACTTGCACTGGTGAGACACACGTTTGCCACAGCCAATTGCACCCGAAGTGTATAGGTCCGCAAAGTCTAGTCTAGACACGTCATCTTGGGATTCTTAAGACAACCTGAGGAAAGGAGGTCCCACACACACACACACAACATGTTTTTTTTGTTTCCAGGTGTGTTGGCGATGCTATCCCCTGGAGATAACGGCCTTTTGTTAGGTGCGAGCCGTCCAAGGTATGCTCAGCAGTTTGAAACAGTACGAGCTTGCCTTCTTCGGTACAGCAGCAACTTGGTCAGTCATTTGTCATATTAGTGTCATTAGTGCCGGCCTGTTTTGGGACAGCTAGGTGGTAGGCAATGAATCGATCCCTTCTTTGAGATGAACTCTCAGTGACTGGGACGGGTTTAGCCAGGACAAGGCTTGTAACATAGCCAGGGCAGACCTCCTTAGCCGTGTTCACACTAAATCTTTGGCAAGTGCTGCAAGAGTTGTCGCTCCGTGGCCTTGTCCTTGCAATATAGTTTTGATATGTTTTGATAATTTATGATATGGAACCACATGTGCATACATAGGAACACTTCGTGACTCAAAAGTTCCAGTCCTCCTACAGCCACAGGTTGAATCACAGCCTTTGTGCAACGGACTCGGAGTCTCGCCTCCAGCTTGAATCCAGCAAACAGTCCTCGTGCTGTTGCCGCCGCTTAGTGGCCTTCATGGTCTAGGCAGTCAAGGTGATTCTCAATATACTCACCTCTCATTACCCCAAACTCCCTTGTGGCACCTCCTTGTGAGGTCCTCAAAGAGGGGAACACGGTGCTCTTTTGCCCTGGAGCTTTTCGATACCAAAGAGTGGAAAATGGGGTGCAAATACACAAGGTGGCTCAGGGGGTTCAGTGGAGTGGACGCGACGTAACAGCATCCGCAATGTGGATTCGCTTCATACGTTTAAGAGCTGTTGGGGAAGACCTTGAGGGTCAACGCGGAGGACAGAGTGGCCTGGATGGTACAGGTTGAAGCAGCTTGAAGGCTTGTTCCTGGAGCGATTAGCTTTACCCAGCGCCTCACTCTGGGGAGGCCAATCTTTTGCGAGGCGAGGCCAATCCGAAATGAAATCGCTCCAATTGCAGCTTATGAGGTCCGCAGGAGATGGCCAGGCACATGTTCCCTGATATTCCGACTCAAAGGAACAGTAGGAGACAGGCTAAAATGACGACGCACCAGGTCACAAGGCTGGCTCAATGAAAACCACTCTATTTCACATGTTTGGCTCATTCATTTAGGTGTGGCATTCTGTTCATGTTGTTTGCGTGCTCAACACTCATGAGGCAATGAATGTCACTGCATTGCCAGAACAGCTCTTCCCGATGGCTTTGAACTGGACCGACGGTTCAGGAATTGCCCAGAGTCTTGGCAGAGACAGGCTCCTGTTCGGGGGGAATTTGGGTGTTGTATATTTGTCACATGTAAATAGAATATGCAACGAAGAGTAACGTTACATTACATGAAACGAGGCGCTTGGTCATTGCCACTTCCCAAGAGAGCGATCGCCAAGCTTGGGCTGTCCAGACCTCAAAAATACACACACCATCACAGACCGACTTAGCCCTTAAGCCCGCCCAATTAATGTTGCATCATTTTGGCCGGTATGCTGCAGGTATGCATTCGAAACCTGTGGTTGCAAGATGGTCCACAACGTGCACAACCCAGTTGTGTCGTTCAGCAGAAAGTTGGCTTCACCTTCACACTTTGTATAGATTAGTGATTTTCATTCTGTTCACCCAGGATCTGCAATCAGCTGGAGCCGATGACTAGCACCTGCTTCATAGGGCAACACGCTGAGATTGCAACCTGTGCCACATTGGACCACTAGAGCAACCGCAAAGGCACTGGCAATTCCACAAGCATCATACACATGAAGAGCAGCTGCAGGTTTGATCAATGGCATGGTTTGGTAATAGACTGTGGTGCTTGTGCTGCTTTTTGGGTCCCTTAGTGATGATGATTGAATGAAAGGGGCTCTTGCGCTTGCTCCGGTGATCAAAGTAGATGCGCCGGCAGCTTGTAAAAAATGTACATCACAGTGCCCGAGAACCGATACTGACACGTGGTGCCAGCACAACATGCCAACCCTTGCAAATCGCGTGTAGGGCCTGGGCTGACGTGGATCAGTGGGTCGGTTCCGAACTCTTATAGAGAGCATGGGCAAGGCACTTCAGAGGCTTTGGACCTGTGCCATGCACAGGCTCCACTAGCTTTCCCTCAACAAGTTTCACTAAGCATTTTCAATGCAAGCAAAAGCCAAAAGCTCGGGGACTGTGGGGAACACCAGCTGAAGATGGGGCTCACTACACAACAGTGCCTGTTAGCGAAACAGTTGCATATTGTCATGGGCCGACTACCTCCCAACTTGATCGACAAGTGTGCTTTGTCTCCATGGATGTCTTTTGCGATGCACTATGTATGTGGCTATGTGTAAGAATCTGCACTCTTCATGCATTCAATAACTTCTTGGAAGGCCCTGATGACGAGGGAGAGGCTGAATTGACCAGTCTGCACCTTGGGTTTGGGCAGGTGCTGGAACTTGAATGCTGAGCTTGACACTCTAATTTGCCTTGGCCAACGTGGGGGGTCTAGGGCTCTCTAAGAGACTAAAACTACTTCGGCCGCTTGCACTGGGCTTTCACAGCGCTCCCAGAATCAGGCTTTGGGCTATTATTATATGCATATATAAGCTGGACAAAAAGGTCGATGTGTGCTCAGGACAGCTTAATGACGAAGAAGATGAAGAAGCGGAGCCAATAGAGGTGCCAACAACCATGGGCATTTTGCGCAACACCGACTAGACGAAAAAAACTCTTGCAGCATCTTCCGGTGGTGGGGACAAAATCGGGATACTGTAACACTGTACTTAGTTTTTTGTTGTTAACTTGAACTTGGGCTTTTCAAGAATGTTGCCAGCAGCCTTGACCAGGATGGCCCAGATCCTATTCTTGAGCTTCAGGCAGCAGGGTAACTTGTGGAAGTGGCGGAAGGTCATAGAAGATCATGTCCAACCACCCTTAACAATTGCCGTATTGACTATATAATTCTAGCGGCAGCGCAGTGTGGTTGAAAAGACTCGGAAGAAGGTGATATTGATACTGTTTCCCTTGCTGCTATTTGTTCCTTTTTAACTCTGGGATAGAGGTATGGCTTCAGCCACTGCAGGAGCTTGTATTTGAGTGGCTCTTTGCAGGAGAAGATGGCACAGTTCTTGGACCAAAATGAGAAGCTCAAGGGCAAAAATGTCAGATTCTTGGAATTACTGTCACTAGGGGACACGTGCACTTGTGCAGTGCGACGTGCATTTTTGACCCCATATATATACATTATATATATATACTATATTATATTAAGTAGATTAATGAACGTGCCAAAACTATAAAGGCAAATGACATGTGCGCATGGAAGTGCGTGCCGTTTATGGCCGACTGCTTCTTTGTGCAACATCTATTATTTTTTGACAGCTAGAAGCGTCACATGACCAGTTCGTGCAACGGGTAGTTGTATATACAGTAGATTGTTTGGAGTACACAACCTGCCCTATGGTGACCATTCTGCTGCCGGGCATCACCCTGAGCTGGCCAGTCCAACGACAAAAACAACAAACAACAAACAATGACACAAAGATGGCACCACCAAACATAACCACAACATGCACGAGGACAAAACAAGACACAACAGACAATGGCACACATAATGGCAACAGCAACACCTGCCAATACATAAGGAGAACGACGCGACAACAGACAACAGAGATTGAAACAACAAATTAAATTTAACCACAACACTTCATATCGGGACAGCTCGACGTTAAGTAGTTTGAGCTAAAGTTGCAGGGGGTCCACAGCCATCAACCTAGAATTCGACAAGCTAGGCAGCCAACGTATCCGGCCGTGAAAGAAGCACACATTACATACATAGAGTTTGATCCCAAATCCATTTCAAGACATGTGCTTTGTGGCTCTGAATCAGCTCGCTGTAATTCTGTGAGCCTGCATCAGAGAACTTGTGGTAAGTGGAGTTTTCTCTCTATGCCAAGAGTCTTGGAGGCTGCCCTACAGCGTGCCTTGATCAATCGACGGGCACAAGACAAGTCCTATGATGCGTCCGAAAAGCAGTGCCACCCTTGGAAGCGAATGGTTTACTCTCACCGGGGTTTGATGCGGGTCCAAATACATGCACTCGCATTTGAGAATCAAGAGCCGGTGCTTATGTGCAAGGTCAGAGGGCAAAGTGACCGAGCACAAATACCAAAATGCCGATGCCTTGGTTTGCCGTTTGTACTTTGAAAGATTCATTCAAAGTCAATCGCTTTTGTAGTCTTCCTATGGGCTTAGATGGAGTAACGTATTTGTGCAGCATGGTCCCAGTTGACAAGAACATACAAGAAACAATAAGAAACATCTAGAAACTGCGCTCTGAGCGGACATTTGTCAGATGCTCAACAACGTGCACTCTGAGCGGATGAAGCTGCGCTTACAGCAAGTGATGGCTGTCCACACCTCGATGAGAAACGAATCAAGATCGGATGTTCCATGGTGCGGTTGGGAGACTTGCTGAGACCGGCCAATTCGCTGTTGTGCCGGTTGTATCAATGTCCAGCCTTCGGCCAAAGTCTTAAGCACGGCAAGTGGAGAAGCTGAGGCTCGAATGAGCGATGAGCTCAAGCGGGGACCTCGTTGGGCTGGGATGGCTCGGGCAAGTTGCCTTCGAGGTTGTTCTGTTTATGACTGTTTGTTTGTTTATGCATCGCGGAGTCCCTGAGACACAACAGACACAGACAGCTTATGCCATGTGAACAAGACGAATCAGGGAAACAGCTAGGTTTGATATGTTTCGATTTGTAGGAGCTGCTTTCAAAGCTGCTGAAGCCAGATGATCCACTTCAAAATGCTCGCAAGGAACCAACTGGAAGCAAAGCGACAAAAGGCCATTGAGTCGGGCGCCAAGGTGTGCAAAGCATTATAAATAGATGTATATATATATACATATAACTTCAACCAACGCCAACATGTAGTGCAGAAACTAATGATTCACTCTCCAGTGGAATATTTGGTTAGTAGCCGACTGACATGAATCTGGTGCTTCTTTTGAACTACTTTATGTAATTGTGTTTTTGGGATTTGGGGTCGACCAGCTTTGCCACGCTTGGCTGGGGTTGTTGACGAGAGGTTTTGCCCCGACAGTGTTGAGGATTGGGGGGATCTTGAACAGGAATTTGGAAGTTCTAGGGTGGGGTTGTGGCGAAATGTGCTGGGCACCGTAATATGACTATGGATGTCCATGTGCATACCATAGTCACTGTAGTCAAATCCTGAATTGAGTCACACCCAACTGATCAACTGTGTGATGAGTGCTTGGCCTTATTTGCTGCATTGCTTGGGCTGGCATGTGTTTTTCTACGTTTGGCTTAAGGTGCCGGGACTCCTTCCAGGAATTCAAGAGACAGATTGCCAGACATGCGGAATATGCACGTGCTTGCCTCGAGCAGTGTTTGCACAATTGCCTTGTGGTTTCAATCAAAAAGTATTGAAATAAAAAACGTATTGACTAGGCACTGGCAAGAAGATCCAGGAAAAGATCATTCAGGACCTTTGCCTCTTACCAGGAACAAGAAGCTACTAGTAGCTCCTGGCATCGCTACTAGGAACCCGGGTATCGCTACTAGGAGCAAGGACCCTACTATATAGTAGGACCTTTGCCTTGTGCCTGTTCGGAGTGGAGTTTTGGAGCATCTAGAGTCTCCATAGAACGCCATACAGTGTGACGGGCTCGTCATCGCGAGAAATCAAGAACAACTGGGGTGGCGAAGCACAACTGGGTTTGCTGGAGGAAGTTGAGGAGTTTGAGCTTGACAAAGACGCAGAGGCGTTGAAATGGAACGAACTATCCAAGTTTGCTTTCACTTAACTTATGACGCATGACAGCAGTCAGTAGGAGTTTCATTTCAGTTAGTTTATGTCTATGTTGAT